CGGGCGCCTACGTATATACATGTATACGAGATTTGAATATTTTGCTATTTTTTACTGAAAACATATTTTAGTATAAATGTACATAGTAATAGTATATGTTATAAAACCACGGAAACTTTTGTAATTTATAATTCTTATAATTTATAGCTTTTCAATTTGTTTTATGATTTAATCGCGAGTATATAAATCGTTCGAAATCGAAGAAATTGACTCGTGACTGCCCTGACATTGACCGCACATCATTCGTCAGCGCTGATTTTCCCGCGCGATAATGCGCGTCAGGTGTCAGTCGACTGCCGCTTGTCGTCGCGCGTGGATCGTTAGAAAAAAAGGGGGAACACGACGGCGTCTTAAATCTTTCGCGAAAACGAAACCGAATATCGCGACGGTAGTGGTGTTGATAAGCTGAGAATGTCAGCGTAATACGTTCACACCATCGATACAGGTAATGAATGCTTCTCTCATTTGCATACCTCGTAATGTTTGACGTGTCACTCAATTGTCATTGTTAGCCTAGCCTAGAAAATTCGTCGAATAACTTGAATTTGCAGCGGAAGAATTACCAGAATTTAACGATGCGACACGCTAGATGTCTTTAACATGCTTTTTCGAACATTTGAGGAAATAAATTTCATGAATTTGGGCGAATTATTTATAATACAAAATGTATATTCTATAAATAAAATGTAACAAAGTTGAACAATTTTATAATGTAACAATTTTGGATTTTTACGTCTCCGATATGTTTTACGGAGCGTTCACACGATTTGACTCGTGTTTTAGGTTTGAGGCGTGTCTTTTGTCAAAATATTCGAGTGAAGCATGACTGAGAAGACGACGACGTTGACGGAATTCGAGGAAAACGTGTCGTTCGACGCCGATGATCCAGACTTCGCGCCCTCGTCTTCGGCCGTACGTGACGTTCTTCGGGATGTGCGGCGTTTCGTCAAGTTCGACGTTAATAAAAGTAAGTGCATTGTCATACTTTTAATCGCCTTAATAACGTCTTAACTCAACCTAGCCTAAAACCTTTTATACTGTTCGCTCCGCGCTTGAATTCGCGCGGAAAAAGGTTATCTTGATTGAAAAGTTGAGAATTCACCTATATTACTGTTATCGATTATTTTTGAAATATTGAGCTGCAAATGTTCATACCGTTATAAAAAAAATAATTTAGTTTGTTTTTCCATAAATAATTAATAGCCGGAAAGATCAATGATTTTTTTCTTTTTTTTTTCATTACATAAATGGCATATAAAATTACGAAATGTAATAAGTTCTTTAAAAAATGTGTCTAATTGGATATTAAATATTATTTCTATCTTTTATGTATCACTTATCTTAACTAACAATAAAAGACTATTAGAGAGAGAAATAGTGTATGTTATACAAAACGCATGACTATTTGCGCTATATTTTTAGACACGATCGTTTGAAGGTTAGGCAAGAAGTATCGACGCTGATATTGCAGGGTATAAAAAGCGAAGTATATTGTTGGTTCATATTATAATGCAATATTTGCATTTATAATTTTTCTGTTAATTACGAAATTCTACAAATAGATGAAACGCGCAAGAAATTGATAGCAATTTATATTAAAGTTTACAGATGTTCAATTTTTATAATTATAAACAGTTTTAATATTTCTGAATTTTTTTTCAATTTTTTTCAAAATAAAATTAAATAACATAACTATTTAATAGCGATCGAGATACATTTGTATTTCCATGTTCAATTATATCGTTACACTTTAAAAAAAAAATAGAAACATTATCTATCTAATCTGTCTAATCTATCTATCTAAGATATACAAAATATGTGTGTTGCTATATCAAGATAAAGAAAGAATTGCATGAGAAAATCCAAATATTTGTAAAAAATCAATTTTGAAGAGCGAGAATTTAATGGCGCGGAATAAATCTCTACAATAATGTTCATTGATTTTTTGTAAAAAATTTTCGAAGGTAAAAAATTGTTTGTATTGCATATCAGTATACCACGCGCCGTTTTGAACACGCGCGACTGTTGCGTACGATATCAGGATTCAACAGTAATTGCGGCACGAGTAAATTGTAATATGCGTGACAAAATTCGCGCATGTTTGCACAGGTCTTTAACTTTCTCGACAAAAAAAAAAAAAAAATAGAAACGTAGGGCATTTGCTTGCACAAATCGCTCGTACTTTCATCCTTCAATTTTTATTCGACCATAATGAATAAATTAACGCCGACACGGCGACGGAAATGCTAGATTTGCAAAGCGTAATCTTTACGCAATGGAATTTTCCTCGTAGAAGCTCGCTTGGACTGTTCTCGATTACATTCACCTTTGAAGTTATACTCCGTTAAAAGAGCTCTTTCCAAAGAACATCAAAGTCTGAACTTTATTTCAAACACACTTGAGGAAGATAAAACATTTTTAAGACGTGTTTACCACATCTTTTAAATTTTAGTGCTATCACAAAATACATAAATTTTGATGCAAAAAAGTTGATAAATATAATGTAGTCAAGTTTTTACTTACGTTCTCATCATCGCTGTAGATCACAGGCAAATTAAAATAAATCGAAAAAGAGCCACTTCTGCGAAATTAATCATATGACGCTCGCGAAATCAAGGATTTTATTGATTTCAATTAAATAATCAAATTATTTAATTTTCTCTATGTTATACGAAATAAAAATCTAAAGTCATAATATTACTGCTTTATTCTGAATAAATTTTAAAATGCGAAAGAAGAGAGCGCAAAGGGAGTTCCCCGATTTTTAGACATAGAATTCATCTCGGCGAATTAAATTTCGTAGAATCGATTGCCATTCCATTTTGTTGGCTGATTCCATTTGGTCCGCGTCTATGTTTTTTTTTGCGTATTTCCGCCGCTCGCTAATAATCCGCGATGTTCCCGCGAGGATGAATCACGGCGCTTGAACGAAAACGTGGATCTTCTCGGAAGGATCGATCGTGAGACGCGACGTTCCTTATCGTCGCGTCTCGCCCCGCGACTCTATTATTATAATGTACCAACACGCACGCGAAGGGCACGAAACTCGATCTTCCGACAAAATTGGATCCACGCTGGCTATCGCCTTTCTTCCCAAGAACCCGACGTGTGGCGAGGTCGATGTTGGTGGTGGTGTTAAGTATACGTCTCGCACGTGGACTAATCGTGTAGATAAAGAGTATCCTTTATTATGAGAAGGGAGAAGGGAGGAAGTAAAGCAGACACTCCTTGATTCGCCGTCTTCGAAGGGTATATTATTTGCCTTTTTGCAGATTCATCAGTCTTCATAGCTTTTACGGCTTTCTAATCATTTCAAAACAAACGAGTTATCTACGTAAATAAAGAGCAGGTTGATATAATTAATATATAACAAATTATAGATATATCTTATCACTTATTTGATGTTTGGTTTCTGTGAGAAATACTTTAGAATTATTCAATTTTTTAATTTAAAGTATATAATTATATAATATTTTATATCGTATTTCTTTTTTTTTATGTTTGAACTTTTAAATAAAATAAAATGCCAAACGTGATAAATTAATTTTGTGTCTGGTATAATTGTTCATAAATGTCAGTAGTTCTCTACTATATCAACGATTTGGTTTTACGTAGTTGCTCGTTAGATGGCAATCAAGAGGTCTTTTTTAAATGAAAAGAAACATTGGTAATTTATTTGTAAAGAGATATCACAGTATTTTGATGATGCTATTTAAATGAAATATTTCAATATTTTAAGTGTGAATCGTAAAAAGAAACTTTAGATCAATCTTTAATTTCGAAGATCGTTGATTTAATTTCATAAAATGGTTCTCATCGATTTCTTTGAACACTATTTTTGAAACGTAGTCTCAAAATAGACTCATGCCGATCTTTTCTCAACTTGTTTTCTTGAGGCGCCTTTTGTTTCTTTACGTAAATGCATTTTTTTTGCTTAATTGCTTCAGCTTTTATTGCTGTTGCACAATTCCTTGCCGCATCTAATTACATGGGAAAGAAAGGGAATTAAAGAATTGCTGAAGAATTAAAAAACGGACAAGTTCAAGTTCAGGAGATGGAATTACGCGTGCACGCGTGCGTTCTAAGTAGTTTTCGTTACACGTGGCTTGTGTATACAGCGAGATTTGAAATACACGTGAGCGCCCCGCGGTGATCTTTATTTCTAATGTGACACTCTGCGGACAGCGTAACGAGATCTTTCATCTGCTTCTTTCGTTTGCTCTTTTCTCACCGTCTGCATTTTCGGCGAAACAAGTATAATATAATCAAACATTCGTGAGAGAGAGAAAGAGAAAAAGAAAACAAAGATATAGAAAAGTACGCTTAAAGAAACGGATGTTTGCCACTTGTCCACGTTTGTTTTCTTCTGTATTTCATCCTCCTCAATATTGTGAGAAAGTTTCATCATTTCGAGCGAAACCGAAAGATCGTCACAAAATTTTCCGCGGAAGAGGGTTTATCGAAATTCTCCTGCGCATGTGAATGCATGACCTCTCAACTTTAATAGCGGGCTCAAGTGATAGCGATAAGGGAATCATTCCGCATTCCGTAGCGTTCCTCCGAAACCGCGCATTTCTTCCGTTCATTAATATCCCGGTTTTCAGAATTGCGATATAATTGGTGGTTCTGGATTTGCACATTCAATTGATTTGGATTTAATTAAAAATTAATTTTTATTGTAAGAGAAACTGTTTTACCTTAGAATCTCGGAAAAAAGTAACATGCGTTTGAGCGTCAACGATCTGCGCATTTATCGGCTATGTGACCTATTCTACGAAAGGCATCGGCACGATTTAAATTTATCCCGCAGCAACGAACTCATCACTCTTGGCGTTCACGAGTCAGAATCTAAGAATCCAAAGTGCAGCGTCTAGACGCGAATTGTTTCTTTTTTTATACGTGACGAAGACGACCGATATCTAAACGATGCTAGATTTAAAGTTTAACCGCATTAACATTAACATAAATTCGTCGCATTCGATACGCAAAAGCTTTATCTCTCAAAATAATTAAAAGTCGAGAAGCAGCTATTTTTTAAATTCATTTTTAATCGTTTCTACATTTTATTATTTACAATTTTTAAGCGTTTATTTATTTTATATTATTCGCTTCATAATCTCATTGTAGACACATTTATGTGATATTATGTATATAAGCAGCAGCAATTAGACTGTTATTATGTGCATGAAGTGGTGGTTAAAATTACGCGTGCGGGTGGTTATTTGCGGATAGCTACGTTGTGAAAATTGATATGAATATTTATCCACGTCATCATGAATGCACCTCTGCTTCGTTAGCGCGACATTCGACATGGCCGGCATATTATATTATCGATTATAGACGATCATCACTTATGACACGTGATATCGCGAGGCTTCCATGAAACGTGTTTATCGACAATAATTCGATCACGTTTGCGAGCGATGCGCAATACACGATGTCGATTGTAATTTTACATGGCCTTGCATTATGATAGCGTAGAGAACGAATCGGCTGTAACGCGCTTAATCTGTGATATTATATAACATCGCAAAAAGACATTCTTTTTATTGGAATGTGATATTTAATTTATACAAAAATCTTTTGTTTCTAAAAATGAAAATATGATCTTTTAACATTCTGTCACGCCATTTTTTTCTTATCAAATGTATCTGAATTGAATTATTGTTTGAAAATTGCTTTACAATTTTTTTTAGCATATTATTTTTGCTAACTCAATGAAGAGTGTATTTATTAGATTACATTAAATTTTTGGCAATATATTGTCCGCAATGATGTATCACGGTTTGAGAAACTACGTTAGAGAGAGAGAGAGAGAGAGAGAGAGAGCGATGAGCGTGGTTGGAGCATGAGCCAGGCGTGTATGATTCAAACTTAATATATCTCCGAGAAGCCGCCTTTGTCCGAACATGTCAAACTTGTTATCGGCATGATCCACTTAATGAGCCGAGCGAAGACACATGCAAT